TATGCTGTCAAGATTGAATTCAACTTGTTTTGGAGCTTTGGAGTTTGTAGAGATCTCGATTATCTCACTTTTATTGTCGTTGAGTTTCAGGTAGTTCTCACTCATCCATGATTTGATGTGCTCGAAACATTCTTTCAATTTGCTCTTCATAGATTCAATGTCCATGTCTTTCTTAGGATCAAATGAGAAGTATATCTGAGTATCATCAGCATATAGATGGATTTGGAGACCATGCATACTTGCAATATCTTGTAGCTGTTTAGTGTAAAGGATGAAAAATATAGGACCAAGAATTGAGCCCTGAGGAACTCCAATCTCGAGGTCACAGAGAGAGGAATATTCACCCTTAACACCAACGATAAAGGATCGATTTGACAGGTAGCTTGCAACCCATTGAAGAATAATACCACTAAATCCATAGCTATGTTCGAGTCGTCTCAAAAGTCTTTTGTGATTGATGGTATCAAATGCAGCTGACAAGTCAAGAAGAAGAAGAACAGTATGACTCTTCTTGTCAACTTGGAGGAGTATATCATTATGTACCTTGAGCACTGCAGTTTCACAGCTCATGTTTTTCCGGTAACCTGATTGATTTGCTGCGAAAAGATTGTTCTTATTTAGGTACTCGGAAAACTGTGAGTGGGCACACTTTTCTATAACCTTCGAAATAAAACTGAGGTTACTCACAGGTCTATAGCTTTTCAAGTCGTCTGCATCTAGAGAGGCTTTCTTTAGGACTGGTCGTACTATAGCAGACTTCAGAGCATGTGGAAAATAGCCCTCTTGGAGGGATAGGTTAACTATGAGGGTGATATGAGGGAGCAATTCATCGAGGCAGTGCTTGAGGAGCCATGTTGGAAGAGGATCGAGTTCACACGACTTATTATTCATCGTCTTAGTAATCAGGGAAAGAACCTCTGATCGAGTAACTAATCTGAAAGCTGCAGCAGAGCATGGTAGAGAACTATGTGTATCATTAGGCATCTCTAACTCTTTTACACAAGGTTTGTCTTCAGATTGACTATCAGCACTGGACAGGTTTTCCTCTGAGATAGACCCATAAATCTTCTTTACTTTATCGTCAAAGTAGTTTTTGAGACTTTCTGCAACTGCTTGATGCGTGGGCCCAGAAGGGGACTTCTGAGAAAGATCTTTATCCAGAAGGTTATTTATAATTCTGTATGTAGCTTTTGGATCTCCTTTAGCATCTGTAAGTCGTTTCTCATAATAGCGATTCCGTTCTCTAGAGATGATTAAGGTAGTATCTACACAAGCTTCCCTGTAGATTTCTCTATAATCTTGAGCATCAGCCATACCTTTATGCTTCTTCCAGAGTCTTTCAGCAGCTCTGCGCTTTTTACGGGCATCATTGCAGTTTTCATTCCACCAGTCACTACGACCAGGTATAAAATAGATGTTCTTAGCTGGTGCATGCTTATTAAGAACTGAGGATATAACAGAATCGTATTTGTCGACTGCGTCATCTAAACTAGTTAGCTGGGATGGAGATGGCATGTGGAGTAAAATGTCAGCTTTGAAAGCATCAATATCAATTTTGCTAAACTCACGAACTGTTTTTTGTTCCTTACTTGGCTGCTTTGATGACACATCAATCTCGGGTGCACTAAACTTAACCAGGAAGTGATCTGACGTTGTGCCCGTGTCTTCCACAATTTCAAGCTCTGTGATGTTTAAGTTGTCAGCCGGTGATTCCAATGTTAGCACTAGGTCCAGTGTGCCGCCAGAGATGTGTGTTGGTGAGGAAACATGCTGCTTCAAGCCTTTTGAATGACAGAGTGCCATGAATTGTTTAGCCCAATAGTCTGGATCCTCTACATGAAAGTTGAAATCCCCTGCTAATATAGGAATACCAGATTTAGTTATCAAGGTATCCATGTAATCAGAAAACTGTTCAAGAAACAATTTCTTTCGGGTTTCTTGATATTTCTTATGTGAAGAAACTTGAGTTGATCGATAAAGGACACAAAATCTGATCAAGTGAGATTTTGCTCTGAAGACAGTTTCCAAAACCTCAAAGGAACTAAACTTCACACTGTTTCTTGTCAGGCAGACAACCTTTGGGTCATAGATGAAGGCAACACCGCCACCCCTCCCACGTCTTGGAGCACTAATAATATCATATTTGTGGTCTTTCACCTCAGCGATTTTGGCCTTATCATCAACTCTCAGCCAAGTCTCTGTCAGGAAGCATATATCCACGTTCTCTTCTCTCAGTAGCTCTAGTACAGATACCGTTTTGTTGCAAATGGATCTTGCATTAAAGGTTGCCATTTTCAGAGCATGGGGTGGACTGTGATGGTGTCCTGGTGTCACATCATGTTTTTTGAGTCATATTCTGTATTCATCATTAGCCTCTGTATCTCTCTGGCAATGATTGGACACTCCATTGATGCTGCATTGTGGGACTTGTGCTGTGCTTTATCACTGGGATTCTTCGAGTCTTTGCACCTGGCACAGCACTTTGCTTCACTTTTGGACTTGTTACTGCAATCTTTAGACAGGTGGTTTCCTGAGCAGCGGAAGCAAGTTGGATCATCAACCTTGGTAGGACAGTTTGTAGAAGTGTGACCAATTCCTTGACAATGGTAACAAAAAACAACATGAACTCGATCGGACACAGGATGGCAGGTATTTCCAAAATAAAGAGCTCTTCCTTGGTCATTCATGATGCAAGATCGGATAGCAGGAGAGACTTTAAGTGCAAATGTGAAATACTTGCTATTTTCAGTAAAACGTGACATGTACACAACCTCCAATTTGTGACCAGCATCCACAAGCTTGCGTACTCCGTCATTTTTGGCCAAGATGGACGGTTTCAGTAGCGATCTGCACTTATCTCTTAGTTTATCATCATCGTCTGCTGTAAGTCTGCGGAAGGCATCGTCCCTATGGACGTTCTCTATTGTTAACTTTGGATACATCTTCTTCGCTTCACGCAAAGTAAATCCCTTTGAAGAATCTTCATCAATCAACTGAGTAGCATTTTGCCTTGCCTCTGAATCAGGAAAACCAATAGCGATAGAGTTATTGGATTTGTTAACCTTTACAAAGTCCGTTTGTACTGATGACAATTTCTCACATACATTATTGCAAACGGACTCAGCGGACTCAGCTGTGACATCTTCAGGGGGAGATAATATAAGCACTGAACTCTTGGACTGGATCCTAGAACGAGGTGCCAATTGCTGCATCTGTGGAGGACTGCCCATGGTAGATGCCTGGAATACCTCCTGCTGTCTTTCCTGCGACTTGTTAGTGAATAGATCGGACATAAGGAATTTTTGAGAGTTAGAACTTTGGGGCCCTGATGGACCAAGCTTAGCATCAATAGCATCATGAACACTTTTAAGGATATCAACTTTGAAATCTTTCATTTCACTTCTGAACTGATCACTGTCCATACCACCCGATACAACCTGTTCAGAGTCTGCGTCATTACCCGTCTCGAAGGAGATTTTCTTGTTGTCGGTCAGATTACCTGTAGTTATGCAGTTGGGACAGAACCACCAGGTACAGGGGTTCTTCTCCATAGCTGCAAGGACGTCACTTGAGAGGGGAATCGTTAAACAGAGGTTGTGGTACTTAGATTTACATTTCATGCATTCCAAAAGCTGGTCACCCGGCTGAGCATTGCAGGATTTGCAAGCGCCACTTGAAGCAATGTGACCTAATCCAGGGTCAAAATCTTGGGTTTTGGACCACGTGATTAGAAGCTTCCCTCGTGGGGTTCGCCCGTCAATCTTTAACTTTAAGCAATCAGACATTGTAGTACTTGTATAGTACTTGTATAGTACTTGTATAGTACCGTTAAAGGCACAGCACCAACAATGTGCAGTAGCAGGGGCAACTGGCAGTTAAAAATTGCCGATATAACAGAGATAAGGGAGCTCTGTTTTCAACACGTAACAAAACTGCAAAATACTTATATACATGAGACCTTACTTAAGAAGCTTGACCATTGTGGGATCAGGGGAGTCGCGCACGAATGGTTTAGATCTTACCTTTGTAATCGATCTCAATACGTAACTTTAAACGGAACTTGCTCTTCTAGCATGCCCATAGTTTACGGCGTACCTCAGGGTAGCATTTTAGGACCTCTCTTATTTGTAATTTATATAAACGACCTACCTGGAATTAGTGATTTTGCAAAGTTCATCCTTTATGCCGACGACGCAAACATATTAATTAGTGGAACCACCCTAGAAGAAATACAATTAAAAGCTAATCAGCTAATTTTACGTCTTGTAGATTGGGTAGGTGCTAATGGGCTATCTTTAAATGTAAAAAAGACGTGTTACATGATTTTCACTAGAAAAAGAATCGACTTCAGCGGCTTTAATTTGTCCATTGACAACACTGTAATCGAACGTAAGACTGAAGCAAGATTTTTAGGAGTGATCCTAGACGAAAAGCTCACTTGGCAAAAACACATTACGGCAGTTAGAATAAAGATGGGTCGCTACCTCGGAGTTATGTATAAGCTAAAGCACCTTCTACCTTTGTATCACGTTGCGACCCCCACGGTCGTTTCACTATGGTGGGTGTCAAGTAATTTGCGAGCCGCACGAGAAATCTCAGGTGCAACTGTACGAGAAGAACTCGCGTGCGCGAAGCGATAATCTCAGTGCTAAATAGTTACTGCGTGCACTGTCAAGTCACATTTAGAAAGTTCCAGACTATTTGATGTTATGTGTTAACTTTTTTGATGGTGTGATCGCTATGTTGACAAAAAGCTTATCTCTGGGCGATCTGGCTTTTAAAATTTTTTGACTTGCAGCACTTTCTTAATCAATTATTCTTATTTGCTTACATGGGGACCCGGCCTGGGGTTTACTGTATAAATACTTAAGTCTTGGTATTGAGACTATTAAATCAGTTAAAAGCCATAATTTTAGTCACAATATTTACAGAATGGAGCTTCCAAACTAACCACATAATTCAAATTTGTATTATTGGTATCCTAAGAATAATACATAATATGTAACAGAACTAAAGTTCATCTGTATAATAAATTAACAATATTACATACGTCAGTGCTTCAAAGAACTATGTTTTTGAAGAAGTTTCAAAGTTAATATTTGGTTCCATATCGGGTAAAACTATTAAAGGGCATGATAACAGGAAAATAGACTGATATCATACTGTTTCCGGTCTAGTAGCCAAATCTCTAGACGGGTACTCTGTTACTTGTCGTTTGTGATAACATAAAAAGGTGGTATGTGGTAGATATTTATATAGCATACTCTACAATCTAGATCTTTAAAACGAAGTAAGAGTTATCACGCTTATATTAGTCGTTTATCTCTCCGTTAAATCTACAATTCTAACATCATTGGGCTTGTCGAACTACAGTTGTACGTGTCGAACTTGAGTATGTGTACCGAATTTACCGTGGTAAAAAACATCTTCACACCGTGAACTGTGCAAAAAGCTACAAAAGGTTCGCCTTAAGATAGTCTATCAATAATTTAAGGAGGCTTTGTCGAGACAACCTATACGCCCGTTTTACAGGGCAGCCCAGAAGTATTTGGTTCTGAAACAATTCAAGATTTAAATCTAATCCCTTTAAAGTAAGCGGCTCAGTTACTTACATATTATTACCAAAACAATTAAAATATACCCAACTACAATCTATAGCCTATTTTCTAATAATAGAACAATCTTCAGCCAACATGGCAATTAGAATGTTACGGGAGTGAGCAAAATAAGAATTATTTCCTGAAACTTCTATACAAATTTCCCTGTCAACTTTACCCTTAACCCGATTCCTGACCAATGTTACTTCCTCAAACAATTAACTACACCATTAACAACTGAGCTTCTATACTTGATATTCAAATGAAGCGGTAAGTAAAAATTGATAATATAACTAAATAATTTCCTAAAGTTTGGGAGCATCTCTTGACATATACAGTCGTAGATCTCAACCCAGCTTCTTCACAATATAATATGTCCCTAGAGAAGACAGAAATGCCGCGTTGACTGAACGGTAATTTTCCTGAGAAGATTTCCGATAACGTCGGTAAACGAGTTGGGGCCAGAAGTCTCTCCATCAAATGCAATGAATAAGTGTCTGAATGGCAGTTCTATGCTGTGAAGGCAGCAAATACATCTTTGCAATTCCCGTCCAAGATTCTTCTCCAAGAGGGCTATAATCCCATTGTGACCGGTGAGGTCACAAGATCTAATTGGCGGTGTGTCGATCCCCACCTCCTTACAATGCGTTCAAGGTGGCAGCAGCTGAAAGTGGAAAACTGAGCAAACATTTGAAATAGTTTTTTAGAGTTAAGTAGAATTTTTACGAGCAATTTTACAGATTATTTTGATTTAATTGACTTTAATGTTGATGAAAAACTTACCGGTTCCATTCTCCGTGGCTGCAAATCCAAGGTAACGACCAGATGGCTGCGTTACAAGGGTCGTGTTTCTCAGTAACCTTCTGAAAAACGTTATCCTGTGGTTAACGTTTTTCAGTTTCAGCCCTTTTGACTTAGTAATTGATTACTAAAAACTACGTTTCTCCGTGTTTTAAGCTATTCCAATCATTTTGAGTCAAAAAGTTTGTAAATTTTTGCTAATTATCTAATTGATAATTATCCAATTAACTGATTATCTGACGTAAAATTGTCTTCCTGATAATATGAACACCCTCGATTAATCTGCAACCTTTTAAGATGTTCACAACTAAAGATATTCGACAAACAAGAAAAGTGGATTTAAGTGGTAGAGTGGCAAAAAGTGGCCTAAAGACAAGTGGAAAAGTTTGGAAAAGTTGGTCAGCCATAAAGGGCACCTTATGGGATTCAAAAACGTCAAAAATCTTTTGTAAGCTTTGTGTGTCGGCAGATCGAATTTTTCAGACCGATCTGTCTGTATAGTCAGGGACGAAACGGAATCTCGTTAGCTTTTCGTGTTAAAAGCGATTTCTCAACGGTTATCACCTCTCTAGATGATTCTTAAAACATTTGGACTTCATTGCATTTTTGAAATAAATGCAATGAGGGCGTTTTCGGCCACACCCCTTTTCAGGGTTTCGCGGTTACTCGAATTTTTGTATTTCAGCCCAGGAAGGTTTTAAAGACTATTCCGATACACCAAAATGTGCCTAATAGCCACATTTATATACAACTTATGAAGCAACATATACCTTAAAATGCTTCGTTTCGGAAATATGGCCGAAAAACGGTTTTTGGCTTGACGCAGTTCATATTTATCGTGATTTTTGGCATTTTCGCCTAGGAAGGTCGCAGAGACTATTCTGATACACTAAAATGTACATAATGGCCACATTTATATACAACTTATGAAGCAACATATACCCTAAAAGGCTTACTTTCGGAAATGTGGCTGAAAAACGAATTTTTGCCGAGCGAACAAGACAGTATTCACAAATGGGCTATTGGACTGTTAACTAAAAAGGTCTTAAAGAAGACTCATGAGGAACATAGCATTTGTCACAAGATGTAAGATGACTCACTTTGTGTCCAGAAACACTCTCAAAATTTGTAGAATAATCTACTTTATTGGGCATCTCTCTTAATGGACCAGGACAGCAGCATATTTGTGTCTTACGAAAGGGCAATTTTTCAAAATTACGGTTTCTTTAGTAAAGGTCAAAGTAAAGGTCAAAGGGTCAGTTGCTAACAGCAAATTGTTTGCAATTGCCGACTCATGCACATCATATACTCAAAAACGTTCACTTTAGGAGTGATTAGTAAATAAGTTTAACTATACTGCATGATTTGTGAAAACTCCAACAATTTTTCATTGGCACCAATTTAGCCAAAATGTAATGACCAAAATTCAACTTTTAATTCATTCATTCCATAAAACCATATTGTTGCTTGACCGCTGACCAGTACCCCACTTTATAATTATAATTGACTTCACTGCCTCGACCAATATTGGTCTGTAATCCCTGGATTGAGATCGGTTGGCTGCAGTTTAATTTAGCTCATTTACCATTTAAATAGTAATACCGCAGTGGTTTGGTTCGCATAGATTTTCCCATCGTATGATAATGTGTGTCATTCCCTCGTTTTTTAATCAAGTGGTTACTAGCTAGCTCTTTTGTTATTACAGCTGCCTCGAGATCTTATCTAGAGCACTAATGCATTAGTACTAGAACACTAGAACTGTAATTCTAGAACTTCAGATTAAGATTACTTGACTGAATGGCAGGGTTCGAGATTCGACTCTAAAACTCTCAGTTTAGGAGTGATTAGTAGATGCATGATGTGCGAAAACTCCAACTAGACAAGGATCATGCTTAATCAAAGTGTTCCTCGACTTGAACTTAAGTCTCGTAAGCCCAAACTGGAGTTTGGGCCACTGAATCGAATACAACCTGATATTAATTTTAGGATTTCGGGAAATTCATTCAGATTTTTATTCTTTGGTTTTTCAATTGAGCTACGAATCCGAGTTTGAGTTGATAACACCGAATTTCCTGTTTGACTCTCAAAGAGAGAAACCAAGGCGTAGGTTCCTCTTTTTGGCTCTGAGATCCAACTTTAAGATCGGACTTCGGAGATCATTGCGTCGGAGATCGTGTAAGTGTAACATCAGTACCGGAGATAAGACTTTTTTGCTTGATATTGGACCTATAAATCTAATGATATATTCGAAACAGCACGGGATTTAACCAAGGTTAATTTAGATAAGATATACCAGCTTTCGGGGTTACAAGACCCCACGAAAGGCAGGCAGAGCATCCTAAATCCTCATGCTATCCTCACGTTGACCATCTAGGTCCATACCCCAGCCTCTCATTAGAAAACAGCTACTAGGCCCGATATCCGTCCCTTGTCCCGTAGTACTAGTGCCCCGTAAGTAAGAGATCGTTCAGATTTTGGTCATTTAGACCCCCTCCCCGCTCTAAAATCCACTTTAGCACTTTACCCAAAGCTGGAAAAATTTCACATGTGAAACCTAAATAGCTAAATCAGCATCTCGAGACCTTCTATTATATAAACCCCGTGATCCTACTATAAGCTTATAACTTATAAGGCATTGCATGCCGAAATTATTAATTAAGATCCACCTCAACTGGTGATATGAACCTGGTATGTTACCTGAATGCCCTCAGTCAAATCTCGAACCCTGCTAATGCTATTCTGCCAAGTAACCTTAATATGAGGTTCTAGAATTACAGTTCTAATGTTCTTAGTTAGTGCCCATGCCCCAGATAAGATCTCGAGGCAGCTGTAATAACAGAAGAACTAGCCAGTCACCACTTGATTAAAAAACGAGGGAATGACACGCATTATCATACAATGGGAAAATCTATGCGACAAAAAAAGAATATGGGGTCATTCTGAAGTGAGAACCAAACCACTGCGGTATTATAGGAAATTAACTAAATTAAACTGCGGCCAACAGATCTCAATCCAGGGATTACAGATCAATATTGGTCGAGGCACTTAAAGTGGGGTACTGGTCAGCTGTCAAGCAACAATCTGGCCCGGATCCAGTGCCGATTTATTTTAGGTGCGGTATTCTTGGTACATATATCATGGTTTCATGGCATGAATATAAATAAAAAGTTTGAAATTGAATTTTGGTCAACACATTTTATTTAAATTGGTGCCAAGGAAAAATTGTTGGGGTTGTCACAAATCATGTAGTAGTTATTTACTAATGACTCCTAAAGTGAGCGTTTTTGAGTATATGATGTACATGAGTAGGCAATTGCGAACAATTTGCTGTTAGCAGCCGATCCTTTGACCTTAAGAAACCGTAATTTTGAAAAATTGCCCTTTTGTAAGACACAAATATGCGGCTGTCCTGGCCCATTAAAGCATTAAGAGAGATGCCCAATAAAGTATATCATTCTCCAATTTTTGTTGGTGTTTCTGGACACAAAGTGAGTCATCTTACATCTTGTGACAAATGCTATGTTCCTCATGAATCTTCTTTAAGACCTTTTTAGTTAACAGTCCAATAGCCCATTTGTGAATAATGTCATTGTTCGCTCGGCAAAAATCCGTTTTTCAGCCACATTTCCGAAAGTAAGCCTTTTAGGGTATATGTTGCTTCATAATTTGTATATAAATGTGGCCATTATGTACATTTTAGTGTATCAGAATAGTCTCTGCGACCTTCATAGGCGAAAATGCCAAAAATCACGGAAAATATGAACTGCGTCAAGCCAAAAACCGTTTTTCGGCCATATTTCCGAAACGAAGCATTTTATTGTATATGTTGCTACATAAGTTGTATATAAATGTGGCTATTAGGCACATTTTGGTGTATCGGAATAGTCTTTAAAACCTTCCTGGGCTGAAATACAAAAATTCGAGTGACCGCGAAACCCTGAAAAGGGGTGTGACCGAAAACGCCCTCATTGCATTTATTTCAAAAATGCAATGAAGTCCAAATGTTTTAAGAATCATCTAGAGAGGTGATAACCGTTGAGAAATCGCTTTTAACACGAAAAGCTAACGAGATAGCCTTTTAGAACGGTTGGGATCCGACTAGTACCAGTACAACTCGACAATTCACGCAACGTATTATACACTGCGAAAAATCTCGAAGTTCCTGTGGTGCGCACTCAGATTTTATAACAAATGCTGAAGGAAGTGTGATTTATATGAAACTTTGCCACATTTTGGTCTATAATTAGGTGTGTCTCTAATATGATATTTGCCAAATAACTGTGGCGTGATCAGAGCCGCGCACACGTGCGAGTTAAGCGAGTATCTATCAATGGAATGTACAAATGTGTGTGGTGTGTGCGAAGAAAATTTCAGCGTAGCCGATTGTAATCTATAAAAACATATGCTATGATTCCGTTTTATTACAGGATCTGGCATCTGCCGTAAATATTCCTGATTTTATCAGTGACACACACTAACTATGCAATGTTACCTGTTTCTCTGATAAACTGCTCGGACAAGTATACGGCTAGGGACTGCGAGTCTATCAGCTACACCAATATCAATAATATAAGCTACACCAATATCAATAATATAAGGAGTACTCCTCTAACGGAATTAAGTAATGAAAGTAGAAAGTGATCGATGGAGCGGATTTTTAGAAGAACAGGAGAGTAAAAACTCAACGGTTGCCATCGTGTCTTCCGAGACTAGTGATAAAGGCGCAGATCAGCTGGATGCTGGAGAACAGAACCATCAATTAGTGATCAAGAGATACCGGAACCAGAACTTAACCACGATATGGGTTGAGAAACAGAGCAAGTTTGCGACCTCCGGACTATTACAGTGATATAACCATCATCTACAATTAGACGGGTGGCTGATTAACAATCACAAGCAATATTTCAGTAATGCCAGATAATCTGGCACGGTTTCAAAACTGGGATTGGATGTTACCCAGGCCCAACCGAGCACAGTTCACCTATCAATTATAGTTGGCATAGTTCTAGCCACACTGCTAGATTACATCAGTATGAGTCAGGATGTTTA